TTATGTATTTTTTTACATTTTATGTATTTTTTAATTTTATGTATTTTTTTAATTTTATGTATTTTTTACATTATTCTTCATTTTGTACATTTCTTTTTTCACCTCAGTTGTAATCCCCATGGACTCCCCACCACCACACCACCCCACCCATGTGTCATCACCACAGTCCCATGTGCTCTTCCCACCCCTTCAGTCTTGGGTGGTTGTCTAGCCTAAGTATTCTGAAACTCTCATCTGGATTGTTGAGTTTGTCTACCTATAATGTTCATTGTAACTTCTTATTAGCCTCTGGATTTCTACTGTGTTGTTATAATTTCTGCTCTTTTATATTTTTTAAAGACATTTATTTATTCAGACAAGAACTGGGATACAGTCCAGAGGTGAGGGGACAATGTGAGGATCACCAGAGACAGAGTGGAGAACAGAACAGGCAAATGTAATGAAATATACTACTGAGGGACATAGTGGGTGGGTCAGGAGAGGTCCTCCATGCCTTCTAGGTCCCTTTCCTGGCTGGGAATTGAACTTGTGCTGCAGTGGCTGCCTGTAGCCTCACAGTGATGCACTTTAACCATTGTGCCACCAGGGAGGGCCCAATTTTTCCTTTTTAATTAGTGACAACTGTTTTCCTCATCTTTTCCTTGTGAGCCTATCAGGGGGAGTGTCCAGTTTTTGGTTTCACTAATCCTTTGGACTGATCATTTAGACTTTTTGACTTTCTATTTCAGTAACGTCTGCTTTAATTTTATGATTTCCTTCCTTCTACCTACTCCTAGGACTGCACCTTTGGCCTTGGCAGCCACAGCCAGACTGGTTCACCCCCAGCAGGGAAAGGGACAATGAAATGCAATTACAGTGAGCTTAGCAAAGGTTCTTGCTGAGATGTAGACCACAGACATGTTGACTTGGTCATGAGTTTCATTTATGCACTTGATATTATTTCATTAATTGAGAGTTTTCCTAAGTCATGCACACATTACTTCATTTGTGGTGTTTGAAAGTTTAATGAAACCTGACTTTGAAGAATTATTTGAATTTCTAGATAAATGCTCAGCCTCTCTGACCAGAGCTTTACACTACTTTCAACCAAATCTACGTACTATTCTCTCTCCATTAAAGCAAGTCAGAAGGAAGTTAGCGAATTATGCATCTTCCTCCTGAGAAGTAGGTTCTGCTCACGCCTGTGCCTGGGCAGCATTAAACCAGAGGGGGTGAACTGCCTGTGGAGCACATGGAGAGGTGAGGGAGGCTCACCTCCTCTGGAGAAAGTGGGCATGGGCATTTGTGGGTGTGATCTGACAGAGATCACAATTCTAACTCCTCTTGATAATAGCACAGGTAAAGACTCTGGCTCCTAGGGTAATTCTGCACACTGACTCCCTTACCTGGGGCTCCCGTCCTGACCTTTTCAGTTACCTCCCAGGTCCTTTGAGAAGGCTCAAAGTTCATGTGGATGTGGGTGGTGTCAAAGGTCAGAGTAGAAACCTCCTTTCTTTCAAGAGGTGACCACTGACTGCCCCTAGGAGCCCCTTTTCCACAAGGTCATAGGTGGCCTAGTCCCAAAGCTAGGGGCCAGGCATTTTATCTCAAGGGTGTACTGAACATATTTAAAAAAAAAAAAAAACCTCCTATGTTTGTGAATTTTAGGTATCCTGGTGAACTTTGAAAATGTGTTTAATTTTGTATTGTTCACCAATGATTTTTTACAAGCCACTACACAAATAAATGAAGTTGCTTACAAAAATATCATTTAGAAAAGTGTCATCATTTCACAATTCGAAATCTTTCTGTATGGTATGTGACACATTTGAACATGTGTATGGCATAACTTTTGTGTTTATTAACAAAACTTAGTTACTATTCTTATGGGTTGCTCAAACAGAAAGATATCTTGACATTGTAAAAGTACCTGGTTTTGCCGATTGTTAGTGACTTGGGAGCAGGGGCTGTAACCAGCACCGAAAGAGTCTCTTCATCACAAGTCTCTAGGGACAATCTGTGCTGCTCAGCCTGCTGCTGTGTGTTCATTTTTCCTACCAGTTTCTTTGTCTATAGTCTTTTTTCTATAAATACAAGACACAAAATGGTCATATTAAAGTGGAACCTCAGTTTTTACGTCCATGGTGGCTCAACAATTGAAGTTAGGGTTCTCTTTATATATTCTTTAGGCTGAAAATATTTTGATGTTGACAGTGTGTTATATTATTCCTTTCAAATAAATGTGAAAAAAGATGAGAAAATCATGTTAGTAACAGGGTGTCCTTATAGTGTGTGAAGTGTTTGTGTATGCATGCATGTATATGTTTGTGTGTTTTTATTAATATGTGCCATTTTCACTGATGTAAGGTGATATCTCATTGTTGTGTTGATTTCTCTATTTTAACTGTCGTTGAGCATTTTTTCATATACCTCTTGGCCATTTGCTTTTCCTCTTTGGAGAAATACCATTTTTAGCTCTTCTCACCATCTTTTTACTGTATTGTTTGCTTTCTTTTGTTGAGTCATGTAACCTCTTTGTAGATATTTGAAATCAGTCCCTTATTATTTATATGGCATGAAAATATTTTCTTCCAATCAGTATCATGTCTCTTTGTTTTGATTATTGTCTCTTTTGCTGTACAGAAGCTTTTTTGTTTATGTAATCCACATTGTTTATCCTTTGTTTCACTTTCTTTTGGGGGATGAGACTGTAAAGATGTTTCTGAGCGTATATCATGGAGTGTTTGCCTATATTTTATTCTATACATTTTATGATTTCAGGTCTTATGTTCAAGTCTTTTATCCATTTTGAGTTGGTTTTGTGTATTGTATGAAGCAGTAGTCTAGTTTCATTCTTTAGCATGTGGTATCCAGTTTTCCCAGCACAATTTATTGAACAAACTATCCTTGTT